TGTCTTCTGGGGGTTAGTAGTGTAAGGGGATGAAGTCGCGGTCAGTGAGAAGTACAGGCGGGACAGTAGGCTTTCCAGCCCCGGTTCCCTGTCTTTTCAGACTAGCTCTTTACGAACGACATGCCTGCATGACACAGGAGCTTTGCAGTTCCCAAATGTAGCCAGAGCTGTAGCAGCAGCATCACTGGAGCTACGATTACCAGACCAGCCCTGTAGCCTAGTGGTTAAGGGAGCCCAATTCCTCATGGCCAACTATGTGGTTCAAACCCCAGCCCTGGCGGCTTGAAGAATACGTGGGCCTATGAGCATACGTGCCCCAAACCCCGGCAGGATGGAGAAACAGAGAAGGGGTTGTGGCATGACCATGCCCCCTAGGAGTGCTTTCTCTCTCTCGGCCTCTCTCTTGTGAGCACACATGCCTTCTGACAATCACAAAAAGATTATTGAATCCTTGTGTGCAGGGCATTTTATAAGTGTAGATTTATTAGAGCCTCCCTACAATCCTTCATGGTGATCCATGGTCACTCCTCACTTTACAGATGAGGAAACTAAAGTTTAGAAAATTTAAGGAATTTGTTCAGGTTCCCAGAATTAGTAAGTCATGGTATAGGGAGTCACACCTAGGCAGTGTCATTCCGAAACTCACATTACTAACCACTGTACTGTCTGCCTCCCCGAAAGAAAAAGTAACTGGGAACAAAACAGACCTCAGATGTTTGAAAGGAGTTCCCTTAGCCCAGACCTTTCCTGTACTTCGCTTATTAGCCCCTCCAGCCTTCCCCTCCTCCCCTCTTCCTGTGGACACCTTTCCCATCAGCACCAGTGCTTCCCCGTTCTCCAGCACTCTGCAGAAATCTCTCTGGCAGCACTTGTGGGCTGCCCTGTACTGTATTAAGCGTTTGCCTGTCTGCACGTGGAAATTCCTCTTACCTGGATGCAAAATCTGAAGACAAGATAGGATCAGCCTTGAGAAAAACACAGACTCTCTTATTAGCAGGCCATGTCTCAGGACTTGCCCTCAACACAGTACGGTATTTTGCACAAAGCAGGGACTCAGTGTATGTTTGCAGAGATGCATGGAGAGGGGGTTAGCGGAGGAAATAGGCCTTTGGAATAAAAACGATTAGGCTGAAACCTCACATCTTCCCTACCTACATATGTGATTTTAAACAAGTTATTTAATCCCCACCAGCTTCTGTTTCTTGCTCTGTCAAAATGGAGGCGATGTGCATGTGGCGTGAGGTTGACTGGGTTAAATGAGATACTGTCCGGCCTCAACCTGCCAGCACCTTCTTCGCTGCTCTTGTCTTGTCTGGCCTGAACCCTGAAGATATTTCTGACCACATATGTGCAAGATACTCTGTGAATATCAAAGGAAGGAAAGATATCTAAGACACTTATAAAGAATGAAACTATAACATATTTAAGTCACCAGCCAAGATAATAATAGAAAAGATGCCAGGTGCCAATATATAATTGATTCTCAAATAATTAGCATCAGTAATAATTATAAAAGGTGCTCATAGGAGGCCAAAAATGTTTTGTGCTCGGGCATCAAGGGAATCCTGGAGAAAGTGGACTCTGAGTTGAGTTTGAATGGTGACCATGAGCCAGAGGAGCGGAGGGGAAGACTTCAGAGCTGAGCACTGCTCAGGGCATAGTTCTCGTGAGAGGCTCAGTCACCTACAGGGAAAGACAGACCACTATTCTGGAATTGCATTCAATCTAGTAATTAGTTTAAAAAACAAAACCAAACAAAACGAAAAAGGCATCCTCTCTGTCTTCTGGGGGTTAGTAGTGTAAGGGGATGAAGTCGCGGTCAGTGAGAAGTACAGGCGGGACAGTAGGCTTTCCAGCCCCGGTTCCCTGTCTTTTCAGACTAGCTCTTTACGAACGACATGCCTGCATGACACAGGAGCTTTGCAGTTCCCAAATGTAGCCAGAGCTGTAGCAGCAGCATCACTGGAGCTACGATTACCAGACCAGCCCTGTAGCCTAGTGGTTAAGGGAGCCCAATTCCTCATGGCCAACTATGTGGTTCAAACCCCAGCCCTGGCGGCTTGAAGAATACGTGGGCCTATGAGCATACGTGCCCCAAACCCCGGCAGGATGGAGAAACAGAGAAGGGGTTGTGGCATGACCATGCCCCCTAGGAGTGCTTTCTCTCTCTCGGCCTCTCTCTTGTGAGCACACATGCCTTCTGACAATCACAAAAAGATTATTGAATCCTTGTGTGCAGGGCATTTTATAAGTGTAGATTTATTAGAGCCTCCCTACAATCCTTCATGGTGATCCATGGTCACTCCTCACTTTACAGATGAGGAAACTAAAGTTTAGAAAATTTAAGGAATTTGTTCAGGTTCCCAGAATTAGTAAGTCATGGTATAGGGAGTCACACCTAGGCAGTGTCATTCCGAAACTCACATTACTAACCACTGTACTGTCTGCCTCCCCGAAAGAAAAAGTAACTGGGAACAAAACAGACCTCAGATGTTTGAAAGGAGTTCCCTTAGCCCAGACCTTTCCTGTACTTCGCTTATTAGCCCCTCCAGCCTTCCCCTCCTCCCCTCTTCCTGTGGACACCTTTCCCATCAGCACCAGTGCTTCCCCGTTCTCCAGCACTCTGCAGAAATCTCTCTGGCAGCACTTGTGGGCTGCCCTGTACTGTATTAAGCGTTTGCCTGTCTGCACGTGGAAATTCCTCTTACCTGGATGCAAAATCTGAAGACAAGATAGGATCAGCCTTGAGAAAAACACAGACTCTCTTATTAGCAGGCCATGTCTCAGGACTTGCCCTCAACACAGTACGGTATTTTGCACAAAGCAGGGACTCAGTGTATGTTTGCAGAGATGCATGGAGAGGGGGTTAGCGGAGGAAATAGGCCTTTGGAATAAAAACGATTAGGCTGAAACCTCACATCTTCCCTACCTACATATGTGATTTTAAACAAGTTATTTAATCCCCACCAGCTTCTGTTTCTTGCTCTGTCAAAATGGAGGCGATGTGCATGTGGCGTGAGGTTGACTGGGTTAAATGAGATACTGTCCGGCCTCAACCTGCCAGCACCTTCTTCGCTGCTCTTGTCTTGTCTGGCCTGAACCCTGAAGATATTTCTTACCACATATGTGCAAGATACTCTGTGAATATCAAAGGAAGGAAAGATATCTAAGACACTTATAAAGAATGAAACTATAACATATTTAAGTCACCAGCCAAGATAATAATAGAAAAGATGCCAGGTGCCAATATATAATTGATTCTCAAATAATTAGCATCAGTAATAATTATAAAAGGTGCTCATAGGAGGCCAGCTGAGTACATACATGAAAGGAGGCAGTGAGGAGTTGGAGGACAGGTCCTGGTGTTGCAGCCTCCTGAGAACTGGCCACTACGTGCTTTGACAGACCCTCGGTTCCAGGCCATTGTTTCCAGGCAAGAAACTGAAAACGATGACTGTCAGATAGCTTATGCTTTCCCCTCACAGAAGACAGAGATCTAAATTTGTATGCAAAATCTCACTGTTAAAAAATGTTTGTAAAAAATTGGGAAAATGATGGGGTCAATAGGTGGCATAGTGGTTAAGGTGCGGACTCCCATGTGGCCAACTACAGTTCAAGTCCTGGACCCAGTGCCTTGAAAATCATGCTGGATGTGTGTAAATGCATGCCTAAAATCCCAGGAAGAAAATGGAGAGGAAAATAAAAGAATTTCTGCTAGTGGAAAAGCAGGTGGAGCAGAAGCTAGAAAGAGAGCACAGAGAAAGTTACTTGAATGCTAGGCTAAAAATTTTGGAGACTTTTCTTTTCAAAAATACAGGATTTGTGGGAAGATGGCAGGCAACACCCCTTCTCTTTGGAGCTCCTCAAATGAGGAATCATGGAAAAGCACTAGGTTTACTATGACTTTTATCATTATCAGGTTTTCATATTTATCTCTCTTAATGATTTTGCCTAAGAAGTAACTGAGCTTATCACTAAGATAATGATCTCTGCTGGGTTTACTTACAAAGACTTGAAAGTAATAGACTAGTCCCTGCTACTTACACTTACTCAATTTAAATGTTTTAGCTTTTCTTTTCTTTTTTCTTTTTCAGTCTGCTAAAGGGCACATGCATTCACCAGAGAGAGCAAAAGAGGGAGGGAAGATGAGAAATCATCCCACAGAAGAGACAGCCATACTGCAACCCCCACTCCCCCATTCTCTGCTCGGGATTTGGGCATGTGCGCACATGCGCCCGGTGTGATCCTCAAGCCACTAGGTCTAAGACTCTAACCATGCAGTCAGACACGTGTGATCCCACTGCTCCAGCCTCCACGCCACCTGCCGGCCCCTAGAGGTTTTCATTTTAACATGAATATGCTCCTCAGTAGCTTCATCTGTAAACAGAGAGGCTTAAATTATCGGCTTGTTGGAAAAGTCATGATGTATTTTTCCATGTTTTTTCTATGCAAAAATGCATCATGACTTTCCTGACCACCCAATAGATTATACTTAAGATCTCATCAAGTTCTTACATTCCAAGAGCCTGTAATTCTCTATAGAAGAAATTAAATTAGTTCTTAAGTGATGTGTTCTAAAAATATGATGTTTTCTTTGAAGAAACCTAATAGTTTCACGGATTTCAGAAAGACTTGTCTTCATTTCATTTGCTCTTTTTCAACGACCCCCCCAAGACACCCATGTTACAGAGGAGGAAGCGGAAGTCCAGGCAGGCTGGCTGACGTGCTCACAACCACACCAGCATCGTGACAGCTGGCGCTCCAGCCCAGGTTCTAACTGTTCTCCTCACTGCACCCCACACGCCTCTGGGCAGTACGACCGCAAAGCCAGGACTGACAGATGTTAAGTCCCTAAGCACTTATGGGTGACAGTCTTTGGTTCCTAAGAAGCGTTTTAGATATCTTTAGAAGTAGCTTGAAATCCATTCTGGACAGAAGTCTGTGGTGGGAGCGAGGGGAAGGGTGAGGTGGGTGCGTGGGAGAGAGGCACCTGCCCTTACCTTACTCAGCAGGTAATTGTCTAAGTTTCCCACAGTTTCCTTCATGGCTTCTTGGTCCGTCCTGAGAAGAGCAGCAGCTTTTTGTGTTCTCCTCAGCAGAAGACAACACGTGCAGAGAGCTCTCCCAGTAGCGTCAGTCTCGGGGTGCTCAAGTTCTCCAGAAACGCGTACGTGGACCGCCGACTTGCCTTCCGATCTCTCACTCACGTTCTATTTCCTATTGTGAAAACCCAACTGCCATCATGTGAGAAATTAAAAAAATAAAATTAAAAAGGAGAATTGATGAAATTGAAAATCGAGGTCAACTTAATTTTATTCGTGTGTAGCAATTCTCTAAGTTGTAAATCCCACCCAGATATTGAAAAGCTCCATTCAGAAGTGCCCTGTATTTTCTTTCTCCCCACCTGTTGATGCCGTTTTGATACAAGATGCAGCTTGGAGCTCAGTATCTTATATCTCCTTGTTCTTCTCCTGTTGACAGTAAACATTGCCTGCCCTCCAATCCAGAAAATCCCGCAGATTGATTTACCTTCTTTACAATAAACAGGAAGCTGCCAAACAACCAGCCTAGTACCCGTGGTTATGTCTACAAACAAGGGATCAGTCTTTCCCATCAGACCAGGGCACGACCACTGGTATTTGGAAAAGCATGCACATACATGCGCACATGTACATACACACAAGCACATGTATGTATACACACAGGCACACACAGGCATCACACAGGCACATGCAGACAGGCATGTGTGAGCATGGACAGGCACACGCACACAGCAATGGTCTGCTTACCCGCTGACCTTTAAATGTAATTTCCCTCTTCCCACTTGAAAGCTGGCAGTAAAAACAAAAATCAGTGTAAACAGGCCCTCAAGAGTCAAGGAAACACTCACGTTTGGTTTTGCCAGCAAAACTCATGTTGGAAAACAGCTCAGGCAGTAAATTCCCAGTCTGACTGGCTGGTGCTAGTTTTACTACCCAGAAAAAAAAAAAAAATCACAATGACTTAATCTCCCCGAAGCTGGAAAACAGTGGGCTATCAGATGATGTAAAGAAATGACAGCACTTCTGCAAGCTCCACTCCCTTTGGAAAAGGCAAGTATCTTTTAAACCTGACTGAGTGTGGCCTCCAGCAGGTCAGGCCCTGTGCTCTCTGAAGCATTTGCATATTCTTCTGTTCTCTGCCCACGTGAAAGCCACGTCAGAGCTCCTCGGCTGCTCTGGGCTCCACCCACCTCTTTAGCCTCAGCTTTCCGTCCAGCTTCCACAGGTGTCATGTACAGACCCACAGCCTGATGTAAATACTGGTAAGCTATGATACACCCTCTCCAAAGACTCTTTAATACGCCCCTCACAACGGTTTGAAGTTTCCATTTGTTTCCATGTGGAATTCTAGCGCTCCTTATTTTGCTATCAAATGCTTCCACATATTTCAAAATCGAATCCCTTGGCCTCTCTTATTACTGCTTAGTCATGCCAATCTATCACTTTTTCGTAGACAGATCAAAAGCCTCTCCCTCTGAACTTGCAATTCAGAACTCTCTCTCCACTGCGTCCTCAACTTCAATGAAGTGGCCAGTTTCTCCCACGTGCTTTTGTTTCTGTCCTTCCTTCTGCTTTCACTGCAATCATTAACTCGGGAGTCCCTTTGCTCTCGTGGGGCCTATCCGAGTGTCCTAAAGGTCACCCCAGACTCCTGGCATCGGTGACCCAGAAGGTCATCCTTTCTGTCCCTGTGGTTGCCGTATGGAGATGACCTAGTACTGCACCTGATGAAAATGTTATCGGGGAATTGTCTCTTGCCCTAAGAGCTAATGACACTTGCCAGATGTGAGCAGGAAAAATAATGAACAGGGCCTACTGAGGAGTCTGGGAAAGAAAAAGCACAAGATCGGGACAACTTACTACGTCTGGTTTTATCAGAAAGCTATAACCAGGAAACAAGGTGCCGTGTGAGCATCACCCAGCTTGTTAGGACATAGTTCCTTCTGGGCAAAGGTCCCAAAATCTAGGGCAGTCCCACAAATACAGGCTCCTTAACAGCTCCTATCTGACAGATTGGTGAAGACAGACTTTTTCTGTAGATACAGATCTCTGGCTGGTCAGATACTGAACCAGCAAAAAGGGAGTCAGTAGCAGCATGTCCCGGGCACCGTGCTGGGCCAGTAAGGAGGGTTCCAGGTTAACTCCTACTCTCCACCATCCTCAGGAAATAAAGACCCTCATTTCTCATGACTCACACCAAAGCAAGTATAAACCAGCTTTGGCTCAGTTTCTTTTGTGTAGACCAAGAGCTCACTCTTCCAAATCAGTTTCACAAGGTATTCAAAACTCTAAACCATCGATATGAGAAATCTTGGGAAGGTATTGCTTGCCTGGGTTTACCAGCAAAAGTACATGACGTTGATTTACTTAGTGACTAAGACTTTCATCTTAAAAAGGAAGAAGGTTGGCTGATCCCAGTCAATCTTAAATATGTAAATTGGTTACTCTGCCCATATGATACACTGACTTCCTTTTTCAAAAATTTCCTTTATACCTGGAGTGATTCAAATCTGACAAATTAAAAGGCCAGACAGAGATAATTGTCCATGCTATGATGAAGTCTGTGGTAGAGAACAATCTGAGGCAGAGACCACATCTATGCTGCATCTCAGTGAAGCTGTACCCAACACATAATTGACCCTCAAGAAATATTACTAAATATTGGGTTGTCAGAAAAGTCATGACATATTTTCTATGCTTTTCTATGCAAAAATGCATCATGACTTTTCCGACAACCCAATACTTATTTGATTATATTAAATGATAAGGTGACATTTCAATAAATAAAATATTTTAAGATATATAAAATTACTTCATAAATTATAAATTTAATTACATACAGGCAGCTGTGAACTGTGATCACTTAAAGTTCTATCTCTCTGTGGTTTTTTTTTTAGAGAAATTTTTAAAATGGGGGGTAAGCAAGAAATCATCCCCCCAGAGGGGATGGCCACACCACAATCCCTTCTCCATTCTCCTCTCGGGATCTTGACAAGCACACATACATACCCCTGGTATGGGTTTTAAGTTGCCAGGTTCAGAATTTGAACCATGGTCAACCACATGGGAGTCCAGCAACGTAACCATTATGCCATCTGCTGGTGTGCACTTATAATCTCACCTGTTTGAGAGGATAAGGCAGAGGTTTGCAAGGTCAAGACCACCAAAGGCAACAGAGAAAGACCTTGTCCAAAGAGCCTGTAGGTGTAACATGCCCCTGTAGTCCCAGTTACTTGAGACATTGAGACAGGAACTTAGAAATGACATAAAGCAGACAACATAAAAAGAAAAAAAATGGATAAATTGGACTTTATCAGAACACCTGTCTTTCCAAAGACATTGACATGAGAATGAAGAGACAAGTTATAGACTGAGAATATATTTGAAAACTACATTTCCAACAAAGGATTTGTATCAAGAATATGTAAATAACTCAAACTCAATTAAAAGAAAACAAATATAATACACTTAAAAAGTGAGTGAAGGACTTAAACAGCCAAGTTATTAATACCAAACAAATAGGAGAATAGGAAGCACATGCAGTCAGTTAATATCAAGATCCATTGGGAAAATGTAACTTAAAACACAATCAGATACCATTACTTACATACTTATTTGAATGGCTAAAACTAGAACTACTGGTAATACCAAGTGCTGACAAGTATTCAAAACAAACAGAACCTCTCATACATTTCTTTTTTTTTTTTTTCCGGAGAGATTTTCGCTATAGGGCGTGTGCGCTCGCCAGACAGACAGAGAGAGACACAGAGACAGAAAGCGAGAAATCACCCCCCCAGGGGGGATGGTCACGCCGCAATCCCTTCTCCTCCATTCTTCTCTCGGGATCCTGGGCACGCACGCATACGTGCCCAGCGTGAGTTTTAAGCCACCGGGTCCGGGACGCAAACCGCGGTCGACTACGTGGGAGTCCAGCGACATAGCCATTACACTAACTGCTGGTTCCCAACCTCTCATATATTTCTGATGGGCATACAAAACAGTACAACCATTCTGGAAAATTATATGGTAATTTATTTTTTAAAAACATTTTTTCTTTATTCCTGATACAGCACACATACACACATGTGAGAGTGAGACAAAGGACAGGAGGAGAGCACCCAGGGTCTGGTCACGCCATGATCCCTTCAGCCTATTGGATCTTGGGTACTCATGTGCATGCCCAGCGTGTTTCAGGCAGACCAGGTGAGGTATTCGAATGGCGGTTGCTGTGTGATCCGGCCTCTCTTGCACAGTGTATTATTACTGTACCACAGAGCCAGCCCTGGTCACTTCTTATAGAATGAAATATATACTTACCAAGTGACCCAGAGCAATCCCACTCCCAAGTATATATCCTAGAGAAATGAAAACTTGGTTTACACAAAAACTTGTACATGAATGTTCATAGGAGTTTGATTTGTGGGGGATCATAGCTAGGCACCACCCCAGTGTTCTTCAAAAGGCAGAATGCTCAGTTGGAAAAGCACTTGCACAACTATATTCATTGCAGCATTATTCACGATTGCTAAGACATGGAACCAACCCAAATGTCCACAAACAGATGAATGGATTGCAAAATTGTGGCACATATACTCCATGGGATACTATTCAGCCATAAAAAAACAACAAGGCCCTGGAATTCAATAGAAAGTGGACAAATAGGGAAGATTTGTTGCTGAATGAAGCAAGCCAGGCTATGAAAGAGACATTGTATGTCTCCACTTAACATATACCCACTGTCTGCACTCTATGGTAGAGACTGAAAGACTGGAGAACATAAAAGCATTAAAAATTGTAACGGACACTAGAGACAAAGTGGAGAGTCTGGGAGGGGAAGAGCATAGGAAAGGAAATTTGAGGGGTAAGACACTTGTGGGAAACATATAGTTTATTATCTGTTGATGAGGATGTGTATAGTATTCTCAACTGGACTGAGGTGTAAATCATGCTTAGTAAAGTCTCTTTACAATATAAATGATGTAAAACAATTGAAAGTATGAATAATAATACTAATAATAAATTTAAACTTTTTTTAAAAAAAAAATTTTAAAAAAGGCTAGTAGAGCTGACCTCACTGTAGCCTAGTGGTTGAGGTAAGTGGATCCCATGTGAAAAGCTGTGGTTTGAATCCTAGCCCCAGCAGCTTGAAAACCATGCAGGGCTCCTGTGTGTGCATGCCCAAAT